TATAAAAAATAAAACCCTCACTTCACAACCTCTGAACACGTGCTACATCAGAAAGTAGTATGCATGTGTTTCCTGACACATTGCTCTAATATTTGTCCAGGTTCTCTCTTGGTACGGGTTCCACGTGGCTGGACCTCCAAAGAGCAGTAAAGTATTTTGAAATACTGAATATACAAAAAATGGAAGTATTTTGGAAAAAATATTAACATGATTTGAGAATATGCCTGTCTGAACATTTAAAAAACTTTGGTAAAGTAAGGAATATCTATCTGAAGTCAAGATGCCATTTAATGTATTAGCTGAGGACTGCTCTGCCTGGCAGCAACTTCAATGAGCTTTGCAATGAAAAAGCAGGTAATACTTTAGTAAGAATTAATACTTTTAACAGTACCCTGATTTTCTTTGTAGCACTCAATAGCTTTTAAGATTTATGTATGTGGGGACTTCCCCATCCCTGGACTAATAGCTTATTTTTATGACATAAAATTATTACGCATAGATTATCAAATTCAAGATAAATGTACCTTTAAAAATCCAACAACAAATGAGTCGTGTCACACTATAAATACTCATAAGTTCTCTTTAAAGTGTCAGATTCTTCTTGGTTAGTAAATATCCCTGTTATGTTTTTAGCCAGTTTTCTTCCAGCTATTTATTCACACCGTGTTATCCATTTTAATTCTTACAGCCTGGTTTGTAAAAACAAATGAGATTTAGATTTATTTTTTAAAACATATCAAGGAGCATCTATACAAATAAGTTCATGTACAATGATATTAAGATAAATATTTGTGTTCAAAGACAATTGACTCTTTTTCTATGGGAATTTAATTTCTAAGGGAATTAAAGTATGCTCTTGAGCAAACTTAACTTTCTACAGAGAAAAACACAACAGCAGTATTTGAACAGGCTGCCAAAACTATGCTATATTTAGCATAGAGCGAAAAGAACAAATCCAGCGTCCAGTACCCACGTGGTTTCCTTACATTTATTCCCTGTTTCACACTTAACAAATATCAGATTATCGATCAACATTGATAGAGCCACCCCTCTCTCAAAAGAGATGCCCAGATGAAAAATCAAGTACATCACCGTGTACACACAATTTGGCTGATATGATTTAAAAAAAAATTTTTTACACACATGTTTTTCACACAACATATGCACACCCTTGGTGGCCAGAGAAACGTGAATTAGTGTGATCAGCCAGGTTTTTGGAAGTCAAGTAGTATTTCTCCTGCTCACTGAAGGAGCTTTCTGCAAATACATATGCTGTCATGAAAACAAATGATTTTCTGTGGACTCATACACTACAGTCTAAATGTAGGCTTACTAGTTAAATAAATATCCTGATGGAACTGGAGTAGACTCTTTTTTTTTTTTCCCTCCCAATTCCTCATTTTCCAAATCTCTCCCAGGAAAGAGCAGAAAGGAAAAGGTACAAGAGACGTATATCAAATTTACTAGGTCCCTTCTTGTAAGGGTAATAACATGGTTTAAATGATGATGGTGTTTTAAAATGCAGCATTCACGGTGTGTTGTGAAAACTAAAGGTCGCACTGCATAAAGAAATCTGTATTTTTATAAATCCAACTGTGTTAACACATGCCCTGATAGTCAAGCAGAGCGCTTTTCAACAAGGGTTTTTCACGCACATGTAAACCTTTGCTGTCACCATTATAGCCCTGTCCTCTTCAAATTATTTCTTTCTAGCCCTGTGCTAAAACTTCAGTGTTTCTAGGACCTCAATAAAGAATTTTTAAGCATTTTCAGTTTTGCAAATCATTAACAATTTTCCAGAAGAGGTATGTGCTCTACATAGGATTTTCATCTAATGTGAATAGTCTAGATTTTCTTAGACTGTGGACACATTGGGTGTCAAGACTACCTGAGATTGCTTAAGCAGCTTCCCATCTTTGACTGCTTTTCCCTGCCTCTGCGTTACACTCCCACATTTTGCCGCTTCCAATACTTGTACAAGTTGAACAGAATCAAAGAAATTGAGCTGGCTGGAGAATAGGGGAGAGGGGATGTACTAGGAAGTGTTATTTTCCAGGAGGATCAATTTCGCAGTTCACCTTCCAGCTGCACAAACAAACAACTGTGCCAGCTGGCTGCAGCCAAGGGTCAGGGGTCTGGGGGGGGAGCAGGAGGTGGCACAGGCTGCCAAACCAGGCAGTGCTGCCACCAGGGTAGCCCCGGTACCTTTTGCAGACCCCCCCAGCAGTAGGACACTTAATCTGATGGGATGATATTTGGGTGATTTTCAATCTTTGATAGATAACATGCCTGGTAATTGCTTAGCAGGAGAACAGCACTTCAGTTCACTCCGAGTTGCATGGATTCCGGGAGGGGACAGGGCAGTGAAGCTCTACTTCTGCTAGAAGGACAAACCTTTTCAGCACAGATTGATGGCAGATTCATCCATTTAAAACAGGCTGGTTTTACAGTCATTCTTTAGAAAGGACCTTACTTTAAAAAGGGCACAAACACAAATACTTTGCTACTGGTAAAAATAGAGCCATGGAATATTTAGATCATTCAGCCGTTGAATGTCACTGACATTTCTTTCCTCAACCACCTGCTGGTCCAGCTCGCCCCTGCAAAAAAGCTGTAAGTAACATCTGTACACAAAGCCTAAGTAATCCTAGAGTTGCAGGACGTGTGACTTTTAACAAGTCACCAATTTCATTCTCTTAACCATCTTTTTTTTTGCTGTTGTGTTGATCTATGTATTTACCTCTCCCAGGCTGGAGCAAAGAACCATTTAATTCTAGCAGTTCTCCAGACATTTGCATATATTCAAAAAGTAGTAGTGAACTATTAATTAGAACAACATATAGATGCTCAAGATATATCATTAGCCTGACAATGCTGAAAACCCCTCAGAACTGTAACTTCCAATGAATTTAAAAAGAATTGTATTATCGCAAATAATCATCATTTCTTATTTAGTTTAGAAACGATCATTAGTTCACTGGTGTAACAGGACCTTATCGGTCTATCTTGGGACAGTGGTCGGTTTCAGAACTGACCATTTTAATTATCTTAGTGTTTGTGCTACGCAAACATATTGGAGCCAAAAGAGAGAACATAATGTGTGGTGAAACACGTGGGAGAAGGACCGATGAGGCACTCCCTGCAGTCCTAAGATACAGCGGTGCTAGCAATACGAAGAAGGTACGGCCAGTCTATGATTGAAGAATGATGCGTTATGAGACACAAACTGAGACACCGGTTTTCTTTCAGCAAATGGATTTATTGACATAATTGATTATAACCATGTACAGCATCTATGCATCTCCCATTGGAAGAATATCCAGTGATAGAGCTAACGTTAGTGTGATACACAGCTTTACTCAATCATCGCCACTGCATTTCTAACAACAAACAGTGGCGTATTCCACAGTTGGTCATAAATGGCCAAAAGCACCCAGCGGTCCAAAAGAACAGAAATATAAGATTCTTAACAAAAAAAAGATAAAACCTGATCCTGGAATCCTTCAGTTTTAGTTCAATTAAACATTGTATCTCTAAGAGTTATGAATTTTAATATCTAGACTGACAGTGGAGTTTGGCCCCTGATACTCATGAAAAATGCTGCCTGTCAAAATGAAATCCCAAAGGACTTTTTGCTCCTGACTCAAGAATCAAGGCTTAACTCTGATTTTTTTTTTCCTCCGCTTAAAAGGCAAAGATTAAGGCGAGGGATCCCTACACTCTCTCCTTTCCTCCCATTTGAATTCAAAGATTGAGCAAAAATCCCTCAGAACATAAAGTCTTGTTCTCTCCATTCAGTCACTGAACTCCAACTGAAGGTATTAGCCACTATGGTGTCTTCTGTAAACACTTGTTCGTCTGAAAAAAGAAAAAAAAGAAAAAAGAAAAACCAAGAGAAAACCCCAACCAAATCGCATACTTGCGGTTATGGTAATAAACAACTTGCAGTCACGAGCACCTCAGGTCAGCAATGAATGCATGATATCGAGATGACTGTCTCCATCGTCCCCTAACGCTTCCTTCAAACCATTCAGTTCCACAAGAGTTCATCTGAGGTTGCCCAGTAAATTCCAAGGAGCACAAGTAGCATCAACGATCTCGACAATTTACCAAACTCCATCCAAAACACTTGCATTTAAAAAGTGTAACCACAGTTTGGACCTTTTTAATTAGCTCATTTCTAGACCACACAGAGAGAATTATTAATGTAAACTAAACCACCGTATTTCATAGTAACAGAACCGCATTCTGTAAATATTTAGGAAAGTAGAAGCCCGAGAAAGTAGAGAGCAACTGATCATAAGATGATTAGCATTGCTCTAAAAACAAAAGCAAAATTCTAATGAAAACAAAACAAACTCAAACGTCATATACTACTGCTTAAGGGTTTAACTTCAGCATTACTCACTCAGCTACACAAAACACGGAATCTAGATTAATATACAAATATGTTTTATTTCACAGTGAGGTACATAAAGCTTCTAACTTTAGTAGGCTAAGGCTAAGAGAGAACTGCCTGTTAGGATAAAGGCTGTTTCACATTCCTGAAATATTCTCACCTATTATTGTTTCTGAAGAAAGGCACCAATATTATTTACCCATCAGCGGTTCACCTCTGCATCCACCCGTTCAGAAATGAAGATGGATGATCTACCGACCATCGCGCACCCAGACGACTACGGCACACATTAACGTGTCCAAGTACCAAGCCGTATTCATTCAAAAACAGTTTAAAAAGAGCTCATTTGTAAACACATTACAGAACGCTGTTAGTTTTTCCTAGTGGTGTCAGCAATATGTTCCTGCAAAACTAACCAGCTGCATGGTTGTTTCCCATTTACAAAAAAAAAAAAAAGAAGTAGGAAAACACACTCGCGCACATTCGATCGCCTCGCATCCGGTCTGAGCTAAAATGGCACGGCCTTCCAACCGCCCAGCGCCCGGCGCGCGTTGCCAGCCCTCCGGACGACTCGCTGGTTGCACGCGGTCCAACAGCAACACTACAAGACGACCCCCCCGGTCCCAGTTTGTGATGAGGAAGGGCCGGTGGTGCCTCGGGAAGGTCTGCTCAAAGCGGCCTCGCGCAGGGCCAGGCCGCTCGCTGCCAACTGTTGCGCCCAACCGCAGTCGGAGCCAACCACCTGCAGCGCGGCTCGCTTCGGCTGGCGGCTCTCGCCTCGCCCAGCTAGGCGGTAGCT